ATCTAGCCATTTTTAATTTCGCGCTAGTTCAGGTACCAGTTTTGGGAGCACTGATTATTCTTAGCATTATTATTTTTTGTTATTATTATTGTTTTAATTATTATTATTATTATTATTATTATTATTATTATCATCACCACTACAATAAATATTATCTGAGATAGTCCAGAATGCTTTGACGCATTCTGGATAAAAAGGGGCACAAACCTCTTCTCTGTGTGGGACTTGCAGTCTGCCTGAAGGTGTTGTTTTTCACTATGATATTCTTAGCTATACAGACTGAATACCTACTAAACTCGCAATACCTTTCTCTTTCTGGGACACCAAGCTCGGGATCCGCTTTTACATTTAAGTTTTAAGCCGGGGCTACGAAGTGTTGACTATTGACATGGCTTTTCATTGAAGTATTAGTTACCATCGTAATGTTTCCTTCTTTTTATTTCGTCTGGTCATTTGCTGTTTTCCGGAAACATTGATTTCCGTTGTTTTTCTTAGCTGATGGCTTGGGTAAATCAGCGCAGCTGGGATCTATAATGGTCCTCCCGCTTTTGTCCTCTTAAATTTTATCTCTGCCTTGTACGCATATTACTCTTGGCCTATTCTAACGCCTTTCTGAATGCTGGGCAGCTACCATAACTTCAACCCTTCTTCTCACTTGACAGCTTGTAAAGCCTATCAACAGCTTACTTATTTCTTCTATGGTTTTGGCAACGATTTCTCCAATGTTTATCACAGCTACCTTCTGCCCTCTCTTATTCGCTCTTAACAGCGTCACTGTTCTAATGTACGGCGAGCATCGAAGGATACTACTCAATGCAAGTTTGACATCGGCCTTCTCGGTAATTGGATTTCAAGCATTACCCTTTTTTAATTGATTGTTATCTTAGGGATAAGTTTTTGATTCTTTCTGGTCTTTTTTTCTTTTTAGAACAGGGATTGGAAGTCTTTCTCAGAGCTTCTGAGCTTCTGGGCTTCTGCTCCGCGTTTTTTTGCCAGCACGCTTTTCATAAATCTGGATTGAAAATAGCGTGTGATTCTTTCTCTTGTTTCTGATCCATACGTCTTTCTCGTCAGATTATCATTGAATTGTTCTAAGGTATTTTTTATCTTTTTTCCTGTCCTTTAATGGCTTTCCTCAAACTTATACAATAAATTCAACGCCACTTTCATACCTTCTTTTATCGATATCGCTATTTGTGTGTACGTTGTCGTTGCTGCTTCCACCATATTTATATCATAATTTTAACTTTTGTTAATGCAAGATCCTCTTTTATATGATCGACAGTAAGCTCTGATCTCAAGTTGCTGATATATTCCAGATCCATCTCGGTGTTGCTGCTGAACAAACTGATAGCACTGACATCGATTGGTGCACTTCCAGTGCTTAGCAGCTGGTCTGTCTATCGCTGGGAAAAAATGTTGAGCCCTTTCGTAAGTGTTTTTTTATTTAAGGTTGTCTCCTTACTTCCATACTGGACGCCTTTGTAGCCTCCCCACAGAATCTTTGAGGCTAGCACCAGTCACTTGGGCTTTTACGTGATTGAAACTGGCATCGGATTCTCTCTGAGAGGTTTTATATTTTCAGTAACGTTACTCATTTTTGGTTTCATTCGGAAACCTACTTTTGATTTCTGAACAAGGTTTTCTTTTCGGCGTCCCGGAACTATTTTATTTATTTTCAACCACCCGCGGGAACAAGCTCCAACCGCCACAACGCTTTGGAACCATATATTCGTGGAAAGCTTACCTCCATCCGCCACCCAAAGGACGCACCCCGTAAGCCGACTGCCACAGCCCGAGAGATCATCAGGAGTGTTAGTAAAGTTTTATAAAAATGGAATAGGAGCTGTAAGGGTAGGGTACGATAGTTGAGAAAAATTGTGCAAGGGCTGTGGGGGGTTGAGACAAAAAATATGCTACGTTTAAAGAAGGGATAAAAAGATAAAATTTCACCTTATCTTATAGGAAGGCTGTGTGAAATGCCCCACATAAACAGCTATATAATATAGAAAAAATTGTAGGCAGCACAAGGAAATTTATAGCTTTAGACAGAAAAATACTCTTAGTATGAAATGTGAAACTCCACAATGTGTTTGAAGACTTATGTTTGTAAGTGATGCGTGGGTGTATGTTTTTAGGAAAAGCATTTTTTCCATCACTTAGCTAGTTATTGTTAATGATATCGTAATCTTCATATACTCTGTTAATTTTATTGAGTTTGCTCAAGTCAAACATAAAAAAAGTAGTCTCTCTGAAAGATCATAGACAACTAAAAAGGTTTCTGGGTATGAACGTTAGTGTTCATCATTAGTGAAGTTAGAACAAAATTAACGTTACGGTAAATATATTTTAAAATACATATGCATCGTAAAGAAAAGCTGCGTTGATGTAGTCACACAATTTGAATAAAACCGCGTCTGCAGACTTCGAAAAAAAAATTCATAAAGTTTCCATTTTTCGTCGTTTTTAACAAGAGCTCACAAGTAAGTTGTCAAAAAAGTTTTAGAAAAAATACCGTTTATGCTTGACATAGCGATAAGAATGTTTTTAAAAACTGATATGTTATTTATGACGTCATGGATATACGTGCAAAAGTTTCCACAAAATTGTGTCTGCAGTTATGGAGATATTTGTACAGACGTAAACAAATTTGTTTCCAGCTCGTATGCTACATCCATACGTGAGACAAGGACACACTGAATACACTGTCTGTCGTTAGATTGACTTTTTGCGTGATACGATGGCTTTTCACAAAATTACTTCTAGAAGCTATTTTACTCAAAGTTTTGATGTAACCCTTCATGATACTTTTTACTTTACCACTGTATCATTAAAATTTAAAATTTTTAAAATGTATAGCACACTTTTATTAAAAGAAAATCAGATTAGCTATACCGTTTACTCTTTATTTTTTTAACTCACATAAAAGAAGTGTGTGTGCTATTTGATTTATATCATAAAAAACTAGATACCTTTAAGAATATCCTGTTATTTTTTATAAACATATTATTAATACATCAACAAGTACTGGAGAGTTAAACACAAATGCATTTTTCGTAATCCAGAGAGCGGAAATTTTTGGGCTATATTAGTAAGCAGACCTTATCACAGCGCCTTGTGCAAATACACGTATTCCCTTTCACCTCCCGCTTGTAGGAGCGACCCAAGTCCCTTAAAGAAATCATCGAATTAAAAGAGAAAAATTAGTTATAGCGTCAAGTTTAACAGAACTTAACATAACAGATTACAAAACTGCAGCTACTATGTCCCTTCCAAGACTAACTGCAGATGCTAACAGTAAGACACCAAATGTTGTATCACCAAATCAAGAAAATAGAATAAATGATTTATCTTATCAAAGTGCAGGCTGTTGGCTTTACATAAGTCAGTGTACTTGACCTGATATTACTCATTTGGAGAATCTTGAGAGTCATGTTAGCAACTTGTTCACTGTAGAGCACTGCAATTCACTGAAGCATATGTTGAGAAATTAAAAAAAAAAAAAACTGCAGAGTAGCGTAGCGAAAGCGTAATGCGCTAATATTATACTTTACCAATTTGGCCCAATTAGATGATAGAGAGTAGAAAGGGATGAATAAAGTATGACATTGATGCACTAGACACTTAACATATTATTTCGATTTTATACAAGTGGCCGTAGACAAAGTCATAAGTAAGAGTGACGTGATGACTGTCCTAAGCGGCCCATACGTTTCCTTAAGGTAGTAGTCGATCAAAAACACTTTTTTTACGATTTTTCTAAAATTTTGTGTGTGCCTTAAGATTGCTATTATTTATCATGAGCCAAAATTTGAAGAGGCTGAGCAGTATAGTTTTGGAGATATTAAAGTTTTAATGTTGAACTTTTAACACAGGAGGTATAGGAAAGCGCCGGATTGGGGGTCGATTTGTGAACGAAATTGCTTATATCTCAAAAACGCTTCTTACAATGTTTCGTAAAAAATAGTATGGTATAATTTATATTATAAAGCAACTATGGTTTCAATTTAAAAGGGCTCAGCGGTATAGTTTTGTTGTTCGAGCTTTGCAAAGTTGATAAATTCAGTGAAATTTCAGTAGAACGAGGAGCGTTATGAAAATCCGGCAACACTACTTTCGTCGATCTCTACATGTATTCATGAATCTGTATGTATATTCCTTCCAGTGCATTGTACGCTCCTACAACGTTGTCATTTTTCGAGATAGTTGTCGAAGCGATATATATAGTATACGCATACGCTACAGCGCATTATGGCACGCACTGTAGAGTGCTAGACTACTACCTTAAGCGAAATAATACAACTAATCCAACTCATACTTTCTGCCACTTATACATGTGTCCATAGACACTTTCATTGTACACACAAATACGTTACAATCATAACAGTTTGGCTTATCAGTTTCACTTCATTTTTAATACTTTTCTTTCCCTTGTATTCTATCACGATAGAAAAATAACTCTGTAATAGTTACTCTATAATGCCAGTATAAAACTCCTTACCCAGATGTACATTAGTTCGAAGTCTTTTGAAGTGTATTTTCTACAAATTGAAAATTCTGCAACACCAACTTAGAAGAATTTAACTGCTTAGCAGCACTGACTACGGCAGCTCAAAACTCGAAATACTTTACTTCGATGTTGAGCGTTTGAGATGCTCAACACTGGAACGGCTAAAGTCTAATGTTTTTCAAAGCCTCTTGAAAATCTTGGTGTGATCCGTATGCATTTGGATATTAATAAGAATAACAAGCACTCAGTATAAGAAGCTTAATTTCTTAAACTTCAAAGTTCAGAGGATTTTGAAGTCTTTTAATCCTATTTATTAGTGTATATTCAGTGAGTAGAGTATAATGATGTGCAATCTACGTTTGTACATATCGAATAATCTTATGTTACTAATTTTTTTGAGACTATACTGATACAGTGAATAATTTTACATTTAAAGTATTATTAATAAAAATTTTATAAAATAAAGTATAGTTACACTATGAAAAACCACTAAAAATATTAAATCAATAGAAACTTTTTAATACCCGTAAGGGCAAAATAGCTCTTGCAATTTGATTTCAAGTAATTTAAAAAAGGTAAAGCGTTTTTGTTATGGTAATTAAATATTACTATTAAGACTTTGAAAATGAGAGAGTATCGCAAAAGTAATGGCGCAGCTGTACCTAAACGAAAGTGGCGTCCTTTACGTGTATCAGTATACATTTATTTTAATATATATTATACATATAGTTCACTAATGCACGATATCTAAGGAAAAAGCTTTTTACGATACTCTTTTATAAATAAGCTTAATTTATTATAAGGACCTCTTATTATTAAATACAGATAAAAAATTTTCTAGACTTACAATGATAGGTTATTTAAATTAACAAATATACAAAATGAAATAGTTAAAACAGGCTGTCAAAGCGCGACACAATGCAAGGTGACAAATTTAGTAGTTATTACATCCAGGTAAGGGAAATTGGTTGGCGAAAATTTGCACTTTTCCTTTCAACTTAGTGATTCTTTCCTTTATATCAGCATTCGTATCCATTGTTTGCTTGAAATCAACAAGTTTAGGTCCAGAGAGCGTTATTATTTCTTTCGCTAATTGTAAGCCTTAAAAAAAACAAATATACTTAACAATTGCATAAAGCTAGGTGATTATAAAACTGATAAATATTTTACCTTCATGAATAAATGAGGCAACGACATCTATATGCTCTTCTTTTAAACCACGGGTGGTAAGAGCTGGGGTACCTAATCTAATTCCACTAGGATTAAAAGCACTTTTATCACCAGGAACTGTATTTTTATTACAGGCTATCGAGATATCTTCCAATATTTTTTCAGCTTTTGATCCTGTAAGGCCACTACATCTAAGGTCAACTAACAACATATGAACATCTGTACCGTCTGTACTAATTTTGTAACCAAAATCTTGCAATTTCTGGCATAATCTTTTTGCATTAGAAACCACTTGTTTTTGATACATGATAAAAGTAGATGTAGTAGCTTGTTTCATTGCAGCTGCTATTCCAGCGATAGCGTGATTGTGAGGACCACCTTGAAGTCCAGGAAAGACTGCTTGATTTAGTTTACTCTCAAGATCATAAACAACTTTCTCACCATTGTTACTAGAGCATCTAACACCTTTTCGATAGAATATAACACCTGCTCGAGGCCCTCTAAAAAAAATAATTGACAATGTAAAAAATACTTTTTAACATAACTTTTATTATAATCAGTAATGTCGTTATACGTAAAACATGGTAACGGAATAGAATTTATGCATTCTTTAGTTTTAGCTAGAGACGCAGAGTACAAGCATTATTTGATAGCAGTAGAAAGTTTCTCTGGTATTTTAATGCTAAGTAATGAATAAACATTATTAATTCGAAAAAACAGCCGTTATAAACGATTCAGTTCAAGCTCATCAGTAAAAATAACTCACTGATGAAACCGTTGTCTGAATGCTCTAAGAATATTAAGTTAATAGAAAAAACACCTCAGTCTTCACTACAACATTTCTTAATTTCCCCTTCTGACAGGATTCAATGTATACCACATAACACCTATTCATGCTACGTTTAATACACGTAATAGGGCTTATTAAAAGTAAAATTTTGATAATGATCGCATAATCCTAGAGATAAATATACATAATCTTCCTATATCGTATAGTTATTTTGGTGGGGGTGTCCACACCTCCCATGGTCCCTTCACAGCCCCCTCCTCTCAACCTTCCACAATACAAGGAAACATTTTTTTATTTCTCTGTGAATTTAACCCAACAAAATCAGATTGAACCCCCACGCCCCCTTATTACCTCTCCACAGCCTCCCTCGTCCACGTAAATTTAGTGTCTCTTCCCACAATCACCCTACTATCTCTTACAGAAACTGAGAATATTTTGTGAAAATATTATAATAATAATCCTGTTTTAATAGAAATATGTTAAAGAAGGGTACATATGAGGTAATTTGTCCACCCTACTGCCCTTCGCCATATGTTCCCACTATTGATCAAAAATATTGCTCAAGTCCTCAAAAATTATCATATATTAATATTTTACCTGGAAATTCAACCCATGGATATTTTTGGTGAGATAACTTTTCAATAAAAAGTTGTAAAATAAAAAAAAAAAAACGTTTCAATTTTACTAATCAATTTTAAACTGGAAATGGGGGGTTGGCACGCAAAGCGCGCACGGGGGAGTGTATATATATATACCAGTGGGGCTTCACGCATCAACCTCTCAACACTATTTCAGAACAATAGTCGTGTGATTTAGTACATCGAAAAGTAATATACATAGCATATAACCTACTTGACTTCTAATACAAAGATAAATCATCCTTTAAAAATTCATTCATCTCCATTTTTCAAACGAGTCGTCTCCTTGATTACATTTGACGTTTAAGGAGGTTCGGTAGTGTTAGCGGGGGGAAATCTCAGAGAGGCAAGGGGAGGGAGAGCGTCTGGCAACGTTGTGAATTTTTTCGGCTGCTGGCACGTCGTCTACTGTTGTTGTCGTCTACTGCTGTTGTCGTCGTCTACTGATGACAGGGTACTTATTTATTCGGTTGAATTTTTTATAATCAAATTTTCAATTACAAAAGGAGTTTTTACTTTTCATAACATTTCAAAGCGCGCGCCAAAAGCAGCGTTGCCAAGTCGTCTGCTGCGAGCACATTTTTTGCTGTTTTTTAATAGAAATTTGTGGTAGGGCTCTCTCAAACTTTGACAAAATATTATTTTGACAATATTCTTTCATTTAAAAAAAAAAAAGCAAGTTCATTTAGCCGTTTTTTTTTTATGTGAAATTTAAGTGATTTCTCCATAAGCCTACATGTTAAAATATTGTTTTTTCAGGTCAATATATCTTGAAAACGGTGTGGTTAAACCCTTCAAAAATTTAGCTGTAATTTGATACTATTATCCCAAACAACATATCGAAATTTCAAAAATTTTCATCATAAAAAATTATCACTACCGAACCTCCTTAAGAACTACAATTAAAATTTACTAATAAAATGTCTAACTCCAAATACCTTGGAAAAAAAATTTGATTTCTCAGTACTTGAATTAAAAGCATTACTTAGATATTATACGTGATTGGAATTTCACATAGTTATTGGGTACGTTAAATTAAATTCGTTAATATGTGACACAATATCAGAGTATGTAGACGGTTGTTATTTAAGCACTATCGCTTAATTCATATAAAATAAAATATATACTGTGACGAGGATTTTTCAGCCGATAAACACAAAAGTTCTTTCACGTACGTCACTTACCGAGTCTCTACACACTGAATTACTCTCCTCCAAAAGGTCTGCCACAGATGTCCGGCTCTAGAACACCAAACACTCCTAAACGGAAATTAGAAGGGGGAAAGTAGGGGCACTAATAACCAATAAACACAATCACTGACATAAATTTCACAGCGCGCTCACGGTATTTATTCGTCCTCTACACACTTTTGTTCTATCTTTCTTTCTTCTCTAAAAATATGAGCATTAATACACGGTGCCTTCAAGGTCAGTATGCTACTTAATGTACGGGCTCCGGTCGTCCTCGCTGTCAAACTTCTCCATAGCTCGACTGTCAGAGGCCCGCACCAACCTTACATTAATACTCATACACCCAGACGCACTATGTAACGAGTAGTATACTATCTCCAGTACCTTTATAATATCCTCATAATCACTCCGCGCTACCTGGGGGTCGTCCTAGTCTCGCGGTGGCTCGGTCACACTGCTAGCTTCAGGTGAATCCCGTTATGGCAGTTGTCCTCTCGTTCAGCTAGATACTCTCCTTCTCTGGTTCTCTCTCCCTCTCTCGCTCTCTATTCCCTTGTATATATCATCTGTCACCTGTCCCGTAATTCTTGACTCTGATCTCTCTGATGTTTTGTACCATACTGTCTGCGCTATGCAGTCAGTCCACATAGGCGCGCACGCCCCTCCCTCTGCACCTCACAACCTCCAACGCTCTTTAAAACCGGTAAATCGTTGGACGTTTCCAAAACTAAGTCCTCGACGCGAGGAACTGGCCCTTGGTTTGTTCCCGACGCGTCGCGAGCTTATCCATCTCCCTTCTCTCTTACACACATACACTTACTCAATCATAACTCACGCACATTCAACTTCTCTCATTGCCTATGGTTCTTCTCTCTCCTTTTGGCTCGTAGTCCGCGGCACCGAGAACATACATTAAATAGAGTGTCACATATATATATATATACATCAATACATGTGTATATATATGTATCGAAAAATATATACATTATTATAGGACTCGGTAGCCACCGATGACATGCCCAAAAAAATTTAGGTATATAGTGACGTGATAGCTTTAGCTACTACGTCACAATGCTAACAATAACATGGATTTTAAAAGATACTCACAAATGAAAAGAAATTCCGTACAATAACTTTAGAAAAACGTAAACAAACAATTACATGTCTCAATGAAAACGAATTTTTAAATCACAGGACCGTTCAAATCACGCAAATAGACTCACAATGAGCAAAGGCCTACTGGCTCTCAAAAATACACAAAGATGGTATCCCATTAGGACTAATTATTTTTAAAATCAATAGTACAACTTGTTGCCTTGCAAAAATACTTTACGATAATTTAAAACACTGTATACTAAAATCAAAAAACAACGTGAACTATAGTGCAGATTTGTTGAACTACGGCTTAGAGTGGACTGTATAATCTAGTAAGCTAGGGTTGAGACGTTTCGGTCCTGGGATTCTCTAAGGAAAGAGCAGGAGCATCTAATATTGGAAAAGAAAAACACTCTATTTGCACTGTAACTTAGCTCCAATATATTTAAATGAACATCAGTAAAATCAATAAATGTACACTGAGAGAAAGTAAAAAAGGTGTTCTCATGAACAAAAAAAAAATCAAATAATTAAAATTAGATTAAATGAATTAACTTAGTTTTTCTTAAACTTTTGCATGGCGTTTGCGGCTATAAAAAAGCCATTCTCTAGAAGCTTCTTCTAGAAGAAGCTACAGCATTAGCTGTCTATTCGAAAGAGCTACAGAGGCGGACTGCCTGTCTAGACGCTGCTAGCTTTCTTCTCGCTCTCTTGGCCTTACGTAATTGGCTGACCGCTCACACGCTTGTAAGCTTACAATTGGTGGTCTCAGAAGTTTATTCTTGACAGTGATTGGTACACAAAGAGAACGAGACTTTATGGCACGTAATTCAATTGAAGCAATAAACGACAATCTTTAAGAGTTGATTACACACACGCTTATGTGTTTACATTAAATTCATAACTCAAATTCGAAATAAAGTAATAATTTTGAACAAGATTCGATTAATGGAATTTTTTTTTAAAATTCTTGATAATTATGTGTTAGTCTTGTTCGATGTTGTGTCTCTGTTCACTAATGTTATATACAACCTTGTACTTAAGAATCTTCATGCCATATTCTTCAATTTCTTTTACAAAAATTACTAATGTAACGAGATTCTAACTTAAAAATAACTTTTTCCCTTTTGATGGGAAAATTTACCATCAAACATTTGGCATACCCACAGGCTCACCAATCTCAATTTTTTTGCGATTTTGGTACTCGGCGACTGTGTGGATTTTTGTTGAAAAAGTTTACAAAACACTACAAACATTGATAATTTACTTATGACATAGAAACCAATTGCCGGATTAATTTCCTAGATGTCACAATAATTAAACAAAATAATAGTATAAGAACTATCAAGGTTCGGAAAGGAATATCCGGGAATAGACTTTTAAATTTTGTATGAGCCCATACGAAACAGCAGAATATAAATATTATATGTAAGGTAGTACATAGAGCAATAACATTGTCAGATCTAGAGCTACATAGCAAATTGTTCCCGATGTCCGAATCAAACTGAATTGGCGCCATCAATAAGTAAGCAGCACAGTTCAATACGATTAGGACAAAGTTTAAAAGTGGTTCCAAAATCCCGGGAAAATAAAAAAACTCTAACCCAAGCCTTTGAATGCAATGTCCCGGTCACCCTAACATCTTGAACCCCTTAGCCCAAAAATTTCAAAGCCTTTAACCGCATAACCCAATTTATCATGAACTATTTAACCCCATTGCCTGGTGCCACAAACAGTCATACATTAATTAAATCATGCATTAATTGAAAAACGGTACCCACAACTTG